TGGCAATAACATCGAGAAGGAAATGAACGAATGGATTAATAAACCTAAAAAGTCAACGAAGAAAAGGAAAATCACAGACTGAATACTATCCTATCATCACCTTTTCATTTTTGATTTCATATATTTGTCAGGCTCGTAGTCTTGACGTTAGGGGCTAGTAATTAATTGCGGTTAGATGTGGAAAGAGGTGTGAAGATGGACTAATTGCACATTCTAGAGACACGAGCACTATTTCTGCTCTGTTTATCAGATAGTAACTCCCGATCGTATGCAAATTCAAGACGGGTGGTTTGAAATTCGAATAAACTAAGCCCCTCATGGTCCTCTGTGTCATTTATTGTTCCATATCAAATGCTTACCCCTCGAAGTATCAAATTTATCCGTGATAAAGTAAATTTAATAGACCTTTCATGACTGGTGTGTATATGACTGTATAAGTTCATTTGTATGACTGTTATGTCGATGTTATTTTATTTTATAATCCTTGTGGATTTTTAGTTATTGTCATCATTATAATTATGAATCACAAAGCGAATGTTTCGGGCAATGAAACTCGTTCGAAAGAATATCTTTATTTCGCAGAAGTGAGCAGTTCCAAGTGATAAATTCCGTAAAGCGTTTGCATATTAACAGATGAAGATAAAAGTACAATGAGAAGACTCCGAAAAGATTTCAACGTATGCAATATAATATTTCTCATGTTATACATAGCTGGAATCAATAGAGCATGTGAAACAAATCATTAGAATTCAAGCAACATTCGTCTTCATCGTCATGTTACATATGCGGTAAAAGCAACAATTTTTTCGTTTTCTTTCTTTCAGTTGAAAAAACAATTCTAATATCGTGTCATCTCACTTTCCAAACGGCGTTAAACAACAAAAAGAATAGTTCTCAGATTTTATATACTCATTTCATTTAAGTTGAAAGCGAATCATACGGACGACGAAAGCGATTCAACTGACCGACAAATGATTCACTCCAATGAGAACGAAAATTCAAACAATGAGAAAAGTTCGAGTAATAATAATAAAACAGATATCATGAGTACAAATGCATCAACGGATTTGAGAACAGCCTTAAATAAAATGAATGAGCTCAGTTGAAACAACGATACAAAATGGAGATGAATCTATATATATTATAAATGCCACATCCGACATATTGAAACAAAATACACGTAGTTTTCAAAACGTTTCCTGGTGAATCAATATACGACAATGGATGGGAATTGAACAATGATTCAACAGAACAGAGGATTGATAGAGCACGATTACAAATGTTCGAGGAAATGCGAATTCTGGATATGCATACAACGTTACATTGGGATGTTGTGACCTATGGATGTGTAGAATTGACATGGTGATTCGGTGGAGCGTATAGTAACGATGAATAATTATCGGTATCGATGACAATACCAGTTAGTGACAGGTGATGTGGACATACAACGGCGATATAATAAAGACGTGAACGAAATAAAAGTAAATTTCATTTCATTCCACTCACCTCACTACATTCACTATTATTATCACTACTCCCACTTTATTTTATACCATTCACTTCATTATCACTACTGATAAATCTTTTTTCTTCGCCCCGCCATTAGCATTACTTAATATTCTGCACGTTCCTCCAAACCACACATTTGAGGGTAACTTTGCACTCATAAAGAGAATAGTGATAATGATAATAATCGGAGTGATGAACAACAAACACGGTTGAATGAAAGGAACGAAACTACTTCATACTGAATATTGGGTGGACGAATGTCTAGTGATCGTGAGGAATACTGATGCCAGTTCATTATTGAGATGGCATTCTTTGCACTAATTAATTATTAACATGTATTTGGTTCAACTTCTCAGCTAGACCATCAGCACTCTGCGCACGACTTCCCGGACGCGAATTCGGATTCGATCTGACTCTAACAACATCATTGCGCAATCCTCGTGTTGATGGATGAGATCCCACTAGAAAGCCGCTCCTAAATATATTGTTGTTAATGTCCTTTTTTTGCATAACACTTCCAAAGAAATTTTGTAGTATATTCAAATTATTAAAACATGAAGATGAATCAAATTGGTTGCGAACCGTCTTTTGCTCGATTGATTCGCAGCTGCCGGTTTAGTTGCACTTTTTACTGGAGTTGCATCTGAAAATATGAAATTAGTTGATCGTCATTCTGATGAATTTAGGAAAGACTGCATGAATTAAATTTCGTGGAAAGACTGCATGAATTAAATGGAATAAACTGAA